AAAGAACGCAGTTCTGGATCAACATCTCAGACATGCTTGGAAACTGTCACCATCAAATTCAAAATGGCTGACGGGTGGGTTTTTTTTTTTTTTTATAACAAATACACTTTTACAGACTGTCATTGACAATCATTATGACTTGTCAAGCTGGTAATGTAAATTTTTCCAAACCACATTCTTAAATGCATAGATTCAAGCTTGCGCAATTGTTTTCACATCACCATTCCATCTTGCACGTGATGGCCATGCTATTATATGCACATAGTATGTGATTGTTCCTTTTCAGTAGTCCAAAACATGGACTTGTGTTCAAGGTTCAGTCAGTGCCCAGACTTGCTGATTTTGTAAAAAGTTGGTACAAAATTATGCATGTTATTTCAAAATTGTGCATCCTACCAGTTTCATTGGGTTTTTTCAAATTGGTAATCAAAGTTTTTTTATTACAGTGTGCAAAGCACACAATGGGAGTCTTTGCAGTTGGGGTATCTGTGTGCATGTTTGTAATTTGCATAATAATTAGCCAATTTCCAGCCTTTCCAATGGTACATTTTAATATGCCGCATTTGTTCCATTAGAAGCACATGTGCTTAAATGACAAAGGCAAGTCAATGATCAAAACAAGACTCATTTCAATCAATTATTTTGCATGCAATAAATGTGTATTAAGATGTGCTTCTAATTGGACTTTGTCGTGAATATCGTCTGCACACACAAGTTCTTAAACTATTTTTTTTGATATTTGAATGAATTGGCAATCAGTCCAACACTTAGACAGGTTTCATCATTCTAGGACAATCAAACATATTTAGCCATTTATGTCGCGTTAAACACCAAATTCTAACCCAGTCTGCAAAATAGCTTCAGCTGACACTGTCTAATAGCTAGAAACAAGACGTACACTAACACTTTTTTCATGATTTATTTTTTTTCTTTAAATTCCATACAAGTAATACACATTCTGAGACAAAGTATAAAACTATCGTATAGAGCACTGTCTGCACTTATTTTAGCATTTTTTTCTCGAAGACAGTTTCCATGGTGAAAGCAAGATTACAGTTGAAATTACCATTTCATACATTTATATTGCAAGTAAAATCAATGGTCGTAGCACAAAAGCTCTCCCCCACTGAAATGCAACCGCCTAGTTAACATTTGGCAACACTATACAGTCATTATGATAAAACTAATCATCGCACAGTGGAGGACAGTTTTGTATAGACAGGAGTGGGGGGAGTGGCACTGCAACTATGTATATTTTCTTGCGTCTGAAAATGAAGCCAACATTTGAAGAAATATACACATGCTGCACCAAATGTGCTGTGCAAACAAGTCAATGTTACGACCACATGTGAAAAGAAACTCAACTGTACAATTAGTTTGAAGGGTGTACAAGTAAAGAGCAGCTTCCCACCAAAGTGCTTATTTAATTAGTTTTACCACAACTACTTTGACAGTACACATTCAGAGACTTCCAATCATATTCAAACATAAATTATAAATTCACCTTCTCAAAAGTTACTACATGATTTAAACGGCAGCAATATCAACCAAATTCATAAATAAATTGCTGTCACCATGGTAACAGAATACATTTACTGCTGTAGTGCATTAATAATGGCCCCAAGCTTGTTTCCAACAGCCTCACGGGCTGCCATGTTTTGCTTTTCAGCTTCCACATACTGAGATTTCGAGAATTTACCACTCACTATTTTCTCAGCATGCTGCACAGCCTGCGCAACAAGTTCTTTCATCTGTGCCTCCAACTTCTGGATCTCAGCCACCTGAAACACAGAAATATATTCATTTATTTATTGGCAAATCCAATACCACAACTCTGATAAAATTCTAGAAATTTATAACAGCGCCATATTGAGTTAGGAAAAGGGTCTATGGCAAGATTAGTGTGAAGCGAAGCCGACCACATTGCGGTTTAGACTCTTCTTCGAATCCCATATGACACTGCGGGGAATTAGTTATTTTGTTATAAATCACCACCTTTAGAATTAGACAAATTTATTCAAATTTGGAGTCTTTTTGTTGAAAATGAATTTACTTAACAATTATCATGGTTTACATTGTGCGATAATGTAAAGCTATGATGTCATAAGAATCTTTAATTCTGATAGTGGTGGTGATTATACCTCCCTCTGCTGAATGAAGTACAAAACAATCCCAATATGTACATATAAAGATGGTTTCAGAATGTCAAGTTATAATTAGATAAAGCACATTGTACACAAGCATTATGATACCCAAATTGTATAGCAATTTTTCTTACAACCTCATTTCTGACTTTAAAAATTGTTTACACACCTTATCAGAAGCGTCAGTTACTTCTTGTTTCAATGATGATAAATATGCATTGATATTAGTGGTGAAGCCACGAAACTCTTGATCCAACTTCTTTTTCGCATCATTCAGAGCTTCAAAAAAAACAGATAATGATGTACACCATGATAAAATATCCATGCATTTAATTCCAATTAAATTTTATTAACACTAGTGATAGAAAACACTGGAAATGTCTTCATACATCAAAAAAGGAGGGCAAAAAAAAAATGTAAAACTTACCACTGGAATTTTTAGATGACTTAAACTTGTTAATAGCTTCGTCATAGCTATGGTACAAGTTGAAACGCTTGTCTTCACTTTTCAATACTTGTTCAATCAAACCAGCAATACGCAGACGCGACTCAGTGGCTGGATCCTGTAGCACAATCAAAATGTAGAAACAATTTCAATAACTCATGTCCAGAAAACTTGATCTTGACTAGATCATCACAGTCAACATACAGCACACTTTGTGTAAACGAACGAGGTATTTTACATGTACACATCACATCGTACACCTACACTGAACATGAATATGCACTAAAAAAGTCAAAATGCTTGTACCAAAATTTGAACCGTGCAGCAGTGAATTTACAGTGGTCTTCACAACGGCAGTGAATTTACAGTGCTTTTCACAACGGCAGTGAATTTCAGTGGTCTTCACAACGCCAGTGAATTTACAGTGGTCTTCACAACGGCAGTGAATTTACAGTGGTCTTCACAACGGCAGTGAATTTACAGTGGTCTTCACAACGGCAGTGAATTTACAGTGGTCTTCACAACGGCAGTGAATTTATAGTGGTCTTCACAATGGCAGTGAATTTAGTGGTCTTCACAAGCAGTGAATTTACAGTGGTCTTCACAACGGCAGTGAATTCACAGTGGTCTTCACAACGGCAGTGAATTTACAGTGGTCTTCACAACGGCAGTGAATT